TTTTGGTTTGTTTTCCGTCGATCTTGTTTTCCGTGCTGAGCACCAATGCTACCGACGCGCCAGGAAGGCAGCTCCCACACCTGGACCCTACCCCTATCGACCCATCAACTCATGAACCGGGGACCAACGGCTTTACTTCCCTTCCGAAGGAAGGCGTGATCAGAGATGTTATGCCTCAGAACATCCCGGCGGCGCCGACTGGGATTGAACCCAGGCCTGCTGGGGTGAGAGGTAATCACGCTTACCACTACACCACCGGCGCCGTTATATGGGACTAACTATCAGTTGTGATTTTATACAGCTTTTCTGATGGGCAAATAAAACCCATCCGTCCTGAAAAGGTTAAATCAATTACCGAAAATATTCTGAAATAAATATAAGATAAAATGCATTGCCATACAAACTATAAGGATGAGTTGTGATAACGTGACGTAAGTTTCAAAGAGCTGATCGAGAAATTTTGACAAAAAGAAGTAGTTTTAGGCAAATTTTGCGTGACATAATTCATGAACTGAATTTTATTGATAAACCCATTTAATTATGCATACCAACCCAATCAAGTCATCATTTATTTAACGCCACATATTCAAAACCAACAGAATTTGCATCAAATAAGTCAACGTTCAAACGGGACTGCCTTTTCGCTTACTACTCGATGTTATCTCTACCAACGTAACAAAAACTTTCGGATTTATTTGCGTTTACGCTTGTGAAAATCGCTCTCAAATCCGAAATGGATTCCAGTGGAAACAGAGTATGGTAGCTTGTGTTTGTTATTTGCTCCGCCAAATCGAACAACTGGATTTGCACGAAAACCATGAACCAGTGGCATACTGAAAGCCTCCATTCCTAGCCGGAACGTTTGTACGAGAGATTCATAACAGATTTACTACTTTCCCGCACACAGAACGTTAGCGTCTGTTATTTTAACCACCGAAACCTATTTATTTAGGATTTCGATTTGGTTTCGGTTGCAAGCTTAGCTTACTGGATTACTGTATTTGAGTCCGTCGTATTTTCTGTTCCGATTATAAACATCGGTACCTTTCCGCTTTTCAACGTAACTCCTAAATCAATGAATATCAACAACTTCGGAACAACCGTCCCTAACGAGCGATATTTAGTGCTTGTCCGTAATATTTCAATACACGAGCATAAATTTCGTCCTCGCAGCAACTGTCACATCAGCGAAAAAGGTAGAATTTATTTTTATTGCCCTCGAAACTGCATAAACAACCGCTCCGTGAGCACGCACCCGATTTTTTTTTCGGAACCGTTTGTCTTGTTATGTGATCATCGCTCCTCCGGTGCGAGCTTCATCGTCCTCCTGCATATCGAATCGTCGTAAGAAGGACGACCACCACACTGGCACCGCACCACACCGTCCGTTGTCTGCCCGTCAAAGCGCGAACGCAACGGTCTATAAAAGATGAAATATACCTTATTGAGTACCGAGCCGGGCGCAGAGTTTATAGACCTTGGCACATAACCAGTGGATTCGGAAAATATTTATCTTTTTTTCACAGGCGGCTGCTTCTCGAAGCTGGACCCGGTCGTGGACGGTGAAAGATAACTCCAATGGTCATGCTACAATTTGGTCCAACGCAACGGCCGACCGAGTGGCGTTTTAGCTTCAGACTGTTTTAGAAACACGACGGTTACTGCATCGCCCCGAGCCTATGTCCATCGATGAGAATAGTTGTTCATGTTTCCGGATGTTATCGTTCTGCTACGAATAGCTAAGGTAATAAAACCTGTTGTCGTGTGATTTATGGTCGTTATTCTTGATTTGTTAGAACCTCTCTCAAATCCACACAGCTTTTGGTAAAGAGTGAAGAGCGACAGGTCAAATTGATATGTATGTTTGCGTTGAAGTTGACATCACACTTAAATTTTAACGTGCGGTTAGTAAAATGGTTTATTTATGTAAAGTTATTCAGCTGACTCTTATGTGGTTTTAATGAGCAATGAAATGTATACACTTGAATATTGCAAACAGTTATCGTCTTAAAGAAAGTCGTTGCTGAAAGGTTCGCGTGGTCAAGTTAAAGTTAAACAATCCAAAAACATTATTAATAGTCCTGATGAATGTGGGCATCTTAGTGGAATATGTACCTGATCTGTATAAAGAGAGGGAGAGAGAGAAAGATTAGTAATTTCCGTTTAATTCCACTAGGGTAAACGCTCCTATAGTTCCGGTACGTTAGAAGCGTTAGGGTCCTACAGTTGTGTATTGAGTCTCCATGCACAACTATAGGAACCTAACGCTTCTAACGTACCGCAACTATAGGAGCGTTTACCCTACCTTATTTGCTTATCATTGACAGATACGCGTATTTCGTCTACAATGCGCAGACTTTTTTCAGTGTCTTGTACTATCTTGAGTATTAGTACAAGACACTGAAGAAGTCTGCACATTGTAGAGGAAATACGCGTATCGGTCAATGATAATCAAATAAGGTAGTGGAATTAAATGGAAATTACTAATCCTTCTCTCTCTTTATTCATTAAATGTGCTACACATAAATCTAATTGTCGATGAATACGCTTCGGAACGCGGCGCGAAGGATGCGTAACTGGTCTTCGAACAACGAGAGCGAGGAGTACTCAGATCGTTGGATTCTCAAGTTCGCGCGAAAAGTGCCGGCACAGATGATTCCTCGCAAAACGGTGAATTCGGTAGACGAGATCAGCCAGCCTTTTTCAATGTTGGAGCTCTCACTCGCGCTCCTTTCGTGTGGTAATTCGGCTCCGAGGGCTGATAGAATCAAGTTCGACTTGTTGAAGAACCTCCCAGACGTCGCTAAAAGGCGCATGTTGAACTTGTTTTGCCAGTTCCTAGAGCTCAATATTGTTCCGGATGATTGGAGGCAAGTGAGAGTTATAGCCATTAAAAAGTCTGGAAAACCCGCGTCAGATCATGACTCGTATCGTCCAATCGCGATGTTTTCGTGCATTCGAAAATTGTTGGAGAAAATGATCCTTTTTCGCTTGGACAAATGGGTTGAGACGAACCACCTTGTTGCGCAAGCAACCAGACAAACAGGCAAATTTCCGATTCTGTAACACCGTTTATTTCGCAGGATGTTATAAAATTCCTTGGACAGAATAAATACATATTCGAATTAGGTTACGCTCTATCCGTGTAATACGTGTAATTAGTGTGGGGAACTGTTTTAGAATTAGGTTAAGTTGTGCATGTTTTAACATTCGTGTTTACCTGTACTTTGTGTAAGTTTTGTAGGCTAATCGGTATAATAGTTAAACTGGGCACTGACCACAATAATATTAAGCTATATTTAAGTTAATTAGCAATTAATTACTGCTCTAATTTAAAAGAACATGTCTTTTCTAACTCACCTATCCACGTTCACTTTAAGATCACAAGTCTTATTTACTTAGGACGACAATGCCACATCACCGTCGCAGCGGTTGACAGTTCGAGAACCAGGGTCGGAGCTGGGCGTTGTTCGAAGTCAAGGTTGATGAAGTTCGAGAGGTGCGCCACATCCTGCAGGGTTGTGACACTCCCCCCGGTACGCCACTGTTGTTGGAGTGGCTTACCATCGTTGGCACCGATGTCTAAGACAGCAACCTTGATCGCTGGTCTTTCCAGCAATCCGTTTGCCGTTTGTACGGTTACCCGTCGTACCTGTCCGTCTTTGGCTTGGACTAACTTCACAACACGTCCTCGTGGCCAACAGTTCCTCGGAAGGGTATTGTCTACGATCAAGGCTAGATCGCCTTCCTGGATAGGTTTCACGGGTTGAAACCACTTCGTCTTGTGTGTTAAGGGGGGCTCAGTGTCGGTTTCTAGCGGTATGTCAGTGAGCGGTCTTGAGTTTATAATCATCTCGATCTCCATGAGCATTGATCGAAGGATCTCGTCGGTCGGAAGCCGCGGAGGGTTGAACTCATACAGGATCTTCTTGACTGCCTGCACTAATCGCTCCCAACAGCCTCCGAAATGTGGAGCAGCCGGTGGATTAAACGTCCACTTGGTTTTCGGCCCGACGAAGGTGGTCATTCGTTTCTCCTCGTCGACATTCTTCGAAGCTTCACGTAGCTCCCGCGAAGCTCCAACGAAATTTGTGCCTCGGTCGCTAATGATCTCGAGCGGGGATCCTCTTCTCGTGTGCGAGCTCGATGTGAACGCCCCTTGTCGTCAAGCAGGTCAGCAGAACACGCCACCGTTTCTCAACTCGTCTTCCGACTACTACCTGCAAATGCCCAACAACCGAGCAATGGCGTTGAAGCGTCTAACATGCTTGGAGAAGAGGATGAGACGGGATCCCGAACTAGCAGCAGCAATACGTGCTAAGATGTCAGAGTACGAAGAAAAAGGGTACATTCGAAAACTTTCAGTGGCTGAGAAGGCGGAAAAGCATCCGAACGATTGGTATCTGCCGATCTTCCCGGTAACCAACCCGAACAAACCTGGGAAGATACGGATCGTTTTCGACGCAGCTGCAAAGGTGAACGACGTGTCCCTCAACTCGTTACTTCTTACGGGACCGAATCAACTGGTAGCGCTGCCGACAGTTTTGTTCAAATTCCGTGAGTTCCGTATCGCCGTAGTTGGGAATATCCGTGAAATGTTTTTCCAAGTGCTGATGAGGCTGCAAGACCAGCGAAGTCAAATGATCCTGTGGAGCAGCGGAAAACCCAATGAAGACCCGGATGTGTACATAGTGAATGTTATGACGTTCGGCGCAGCGTGTTCTCCAAGTTCCGCGCACTATGTGAAGAACCTGAACGCAGATAGGTTCATGGAGCAGTTCCCTCGATCGGTTGAGGGCATCAAGTACGAACACTATGTCGACGACATGCTATCCAGTGTGGAGACCGAGGAGGAAGCCGTGCAGCTAGCCAATGAAGTGCGTTTCGTGCATTCTTAAGGAGGCTTCGAGATTCGTAACTGGTTATCGAATTCAAGCAAAGTCACGACGTCCTTGCAGGAGGGCACCACCACAGAGAAAAACATGAGCCTATGTACGGAGATGGCAACGGAGAAGGTACTTGGAATGTGGTGGGACACGGCCACCGACATGTTCACGTTCAGGATATCACCAAAACATGATGCGGAGCTGTTGTCCGGAGTCAGAATGCCCTCGAAGCGGGAAGTGTTACGGACGCTGATGGCGATATATGATCCGATGGTACTTATCGCCAATTGCCTGATGTATTTGAAAATTCTCCTACAGGAAATTTGGCGCTCTGGGTGTGCTTGGGACGATGAAATCACTGGAAAACTGGCTGAGAAGTGGATGATTTGGATCGCGGTGTTGCCTGACGTACGTAAGGTGAGCGTTCCTCGGTGTTACCGATACATCACGACTGCTGAAGCCACAAACGTTGTCCAACTGCACGTCTTCTGCGATGCAAGCGAAAATGGAATCGCTGCCGTTGCCTACTTTAGATTCGAAGAAGCTGGAGTCATAGAATGCGCCATGGTCGGATCAAGAACACGGGTAGCACCCTTGAAAATCCTCTCGATTCCACGTCTAGAACTACAAGCTGCTGTAGTCGGAGCGCGTTTGGCAGACAGCATTGCAGGCTCACACCGGATGAAGATTTCACGCCGAATATTCTGGACGGACTCCCGCGATGTGGTATGCTGGATACGATCCGATCACCGACGCTATAGCCAATTCGTAGCGTTCAGGATCAGTGAGCTGCTGGAAAGCACTGAAGGGGATGAGTGGAGATGGGTGTCTACGAGATCGAATGTGGCTGATGACGGAACGAAGTGGCAGAGGCTGCCGGACTTACAACCTACGAGTCGCTGGTTCCATGGACCAGACCTCCTATGGAAACCGGAAACCGAATGGTCAGGTGAAGGCGGAGATCCGGGGACGACTGCAGAAGAGATTCGTCCCAGCGTTCTTCATCACATGATCACGGAACCGCTGGTGTGCTTCGAGCGTTTCTCCAAATGGAAGCGGCTGTTGAGAACGGTCGCATATGTTCACTGATTCATCACGAACCTCCAGAATCGAACCAACCAGATACCCGTCGAGCTAGGACTGCTTACGCAAGAGGAGCTGAATAGTGCCGAACAAACCATCTACCGTTAAGTGCAACGGCAAGCCTATCCGGACGAGATTCAAATGCTAAGCCACGTGGGTCGGGACAAACAGCCCTGGGAACGCATCATCCCGAAGACCAGCTTGTTATACAAGCTTAGCCCGGCCATCGACGCACACGGTGTACTACGGATGCGCGGACGGATCGAAGCTTGTGAGTGGGTAGATGAAACCGTCAAGAATCCGATCCTGCTTCCGAAGCGTCATTACGTAACCGATTTGTGACCACCGATTATCACAACAAGTACCGTCACCAAAACTATCAAACGGTGATGAACGAAGTAAGGCTGTAATACTTTATTCTCCGGCTTCGATCAGAGTACAACCGTGTCCGCAAAAATTGCCAACATTGCAAGCTACGTCGAGTAAATCCGCAGCCCCCTGCCATGGGAAACCTTCCTCCCGCACGCCTAGCGGCGTTTCAGCGACCGTTCTCGTACACCGGAACGAAACTAGTGGTTTGGACGATGCAGAGATTCCCAGCGGCTCAATCGAGAAATACTCCTTCAAAGCGCCGTTCAGGTCCTTATCGATTTCCGTACTACACGGGCAAATGTGAAAACTGTGGTAGCCGCTGTAACCTGTATTTGCTGCTCCAGATATCATCGAACACGGTCCGTACACGAGCCAACCAAGACGGGTCTTCGTTGCGACCGGTCCGTTCTCGTTTCCTTCGGTGCTTCTCAACGCGTGACCGAGGCGGCAATTGCAGAATTCTTGGAGACACGCTTTCGTAGGATTCGACTGGCAATCCCTTCAGGTAGTTGTATTTGGCTGCCAATTGTTGTACTGACACCGACTGCTTTGGCAGAGAAAGGTTCCGTACCGTGTGAACCTTCGAGAGTTCGTAGACCTTGCTGGCGTCGTGTGTTCCGGAAACCTTCAGTGTTAGCTTCACCGATTCCTTTTCCTTCCTTTGTTGACCTCCCGTCCAGTTGAGGCACAATGGATGCAATGTTCCTTCAAGATCCAGTTCCTTCGCCAGACTGTGCTCCTTAAATGTAGCCGACGACCCATCGTCAAGAAAGGCGAAGGTTTTCACAGATTTCCCTTTTCCGTAGATGATCACAGGCACATATCGAAACAGAACCTTCCCAGCCGTATTCGTATGAGTGTTACAGTTCTACGATGATGAATTTCCGCTCGTAGACGCCGTCGGTTCCGAAACTGCGGACTTGTTGTACCGTTTGTCGTCATGCAACAATTTGCTATGCATGAACAAACAACCGTTCTTTCCGAATGGTGTTTTAACGTGACAGGCACCGAAATGCTTCCGCAGACACTTCCGACACAACTTCAGCTCCTTTACAACTGTCCAACGGGCTCCGATTGTCATGTTGAGGAATTTACCACACGTGTCTGGACCGCTGCATTCTTCCAGACATACAGCGCCACCTTTCGGAACTGGTACCGATCGAGTCTTCGTGGCGAATTCTTCGGTGGGGTTGCTATCCGAGTGTACGTTGAGGTAGTTATCCTCCTTTCGACCGCGTCTCTCCGATTTCGTGACACCGAATGGATGGAATTGTGACTACGCTGGCTGCTTCCACCAACTTTCCCAGCCAATCTCCAAAGTCCGACAAGGTGAATCTATCCAGCGTCTGCCGGTGGTACGCCCAGTTGAGCCTTACAGCAGGTGGCAATCTTTCCGTCAACTCTTGCAGTAAAGCTACGTTGCAGAGATACTCGTCGAGACCCGATGCCTTGATGGTGGCACAGACGTTTTGAACAGCAACTCCGAAATCGATCAATGTGTTCAGCTTTTCTGCTTTCGGTGGTGGCATCTCCCGAATCTTGCTAACCAGCGAATGCACGATGATCTCGGGCCTTCCAAACAGCGTCCTCAGTGTAGCGATAACACCTGGCAAGTTTGAAGGATGCAGCAGTCGACAACGCACCGCTTCCAAAGCTCGTCCTTTAAGACATCGTTGAAGCCGTAGAAGATTTTCTTCGTCGCTGTATCCACAGATTCGAGTAGAGTTCTCGTAGCTTGCGAAGAATAGGGGCCACTCTTCAGGATTTCCTGTGAAGCTCGGAAGTTGTAACACCGTTTATTTCGCAGGATGTTATAAAATTCCTTGGACAGAATAAATACATATTCGAATTAGGTTACGCTCAATTCTTAGCATAATGTGTAGTATATATAGGAGGAAATAATGATTTGAACGACGTTTACTACTTTAGCGCTTAAGATTTTATACGAATCTGTTTTGCTTTTAAAATGTACGTATGTACTTACGTCTAGTCTTTACTTGCAACGAATTTGTCCGCAAATCATCCGTACTATCCGTGTAATACGTGTAATAACCAGGGTGCCTTCCATTCATTTTGACTAAAAAAATGTTTTAGGAAATTATGGAATAATACGAAATTATGATGGTAGGGTAAATTATGGCTTCGGCACCCATTGACTGTTTTCGGCAACCGAAATTGAAACGTTTATTTCACTGTATTTTCCCATCAAAACTCTTCGCTGAATGTATTAAACCGATTCCTTGCCTTCTCAGCTTCAATCTGATTACATTTTTACGACTGTGCAATCCTGTTCTGCTATATTTTTCTTTAAATGAAATACACACACTACAAAATACGGCTGATTTCGAGTTGCCGATAATAGAACAGTTGGTTAACACGCAGTTCAAATGGAAAGGGTGCCGAAGAAAAAGAGACTGCCGACAATAGTCACACTCACCTGAGAAGTTTGGAGCGTTGTAAAAACATGTTCAACCCGTTTTGATCAATTCTGTCGATTGGAATTGGTAGGCCAGCAAGCAGCAGATCAATGTCAACAAACAAACCTGTCATGTATGTGTGTGACGCTGAGAAATCGTCAATAGATGTTCCGACGCTGCTTAGATTGACGAGAATACGTAAATTCCCCTATTTTGTATGTGTAAGGAACAAGACAAATTTTTAAAGTTTGTGTTTGACACATAAAACCTGCAAATTTAGCTTTAACAGAGCCACAATGAGCGATTTTCTGATCGCCTCTTCGCGAAGAGTGAAGAGTGAAGAGTGGGTGAGATAAATGACAAAATTGCTTATTGCGACTCTCATGCAGCAACATTGGCTGGTATTATGTGTCAAACACAAACTCCACAATCTTTTCTTGTTGCTTACACAAACAAAATATTATTACAATATCTTATTATTCCATAATTTTATAAAACATTTTTTTAGCCAAAATGAATGGAAGGAACCCTGGTAATAACTGTGGGGAACTGTTTTAGAATTAGGTTAAGTTGTGTACTTTGTGTAAGTTTTGTAGGCTAATCGGTATAATAGTTAAACTGGGCACTGACCACAATAATATTAAGCTATATTTAAGTTAATTAGCAATTAATTACTGTTCTAATTTAAAAGAACAAGTTTTTTCTAGGTTGATGAAGTTCAAGTTTGATGAAGTTCAAGGTTTATGAAGTTCGAGAGGTGCGCCACATCCTGCAGGGTTGTGACAACCTACTCTCAGATACTCACTTTGGTTTCCGTAGAGGCAAGGGAACGAACGACTGTCTCGCGTTGCTTTCCACAGAAATTCAGTTGGCTTTTGCTAAAAAAGAGCAAATGGCTTCTGTCTTCTTGGATATTAAGGGGGCTTTTGATTCAGTATCGGTTGAAGTCCTTGCAGACAAACTCCACGCATGTGGCCTTTCTCCATTAATTAATAACTTTTTGTACAATTTGCTGTCAGAGAAACATATGAGCTTTTCTCATGGAAACTCTACAGCTTCTCGATTTAGTTACATGGGTCTCCCCCAGGGCTCATGTTTAAGCCCCCTTTTGTACAATTTCTACGTCAGAGAAATTGACAATTGTCTATGTAATAACTGCACGTTGAGACAACTTGCAGATGACGGTGTAGTGTCTATGACAGGGCCCAGAGAAGCTGACCTGCTAGGACCCTTACAAGATACCTTAGACAATTTGTTTACTTAGGCTATTCAGCTAGGTATCGAATTATCCACGGAGAAAACTGAGTTGGTCGTTTTTTCTAGGAAGCATAGCCCAGCACAACCGAAGCTTCAACTTTTGGGTAGGCCGATCACTCATTCTATGTCTTTCAAATATCTTGGGTTCTGGTTCGATTCCAAATGCACCTGGAGATCCCACATTGAGTATCTGAAGCGGAAATGCCAACAAAGGATCAATTTTCTCCAAACAATGTACCGGACAACGGTTTTATCGGTTTTAGAGTACGGTAGTTTATGCTTCAAGTCGGCGGCTAAAACGCACATCATCAAACTGGAACGGATCCAGTATCGCTGTCTTCGTATCGCGTTAGGATGCATGCACTCGACTCATACGATGAGTCTCGAAGTGTTAGCGGGCATGTTGCCACTCTCTGATCGGTTTTCGGAATTATCCCTCAGGCTCCTCACCCGTTGTGAAATTATGAACCCACTGGTGATTGCAAACTTTGAGAAGCTTCTTGAGCTAAACCCTCAAACTCGTTTTATGACATTGTACTACGTGTACATAACACAGGATGTCAGCCCTTCACAGCATAATCCCTATCGTGTTTGCTTCTCCAACTTCGGCAATTTTGTTCATTTTGATTTACCCATGACGCAAGAGATTCGCGGAATCCCAGAGCATCATCGCTCCATGATTGCTCCGTCAATTTACGCTGCAAAGTTTGGCCAAGTTGATTCCGCAAGATCGTTCTTCACAGATGGATCACTAATAGAGTCGTCCGCTGGTTTTGGTATTTTTAACGAATTTCATAGCGCCTCTCGAATGCTTCAAGCTCCTTGTTCCGTATATGTTGCTGAGCTGGCGGCAATATACTATATGCTAGAAACGATCGCCTCAATTCCACCAGATCGTTATTTTATGTTTACGGATAGTCTCAGTTCTGTCGAGACTATTCGCTCCATGAGGCCGGTAAA